ATATATATATATAAAGACCTTTCTCTTTGCTATTTTAAATTGTTTTTGTTTCGCTATTTACTCGTATGYTTTTCCTTGCTTTTTCAACTACATTTCCTATTAGTTCTCCTCCTGCGCCTTTCGCTTTATATGTACTATGTATATGCCTGTATTATGTATGTATGTACGCATGTATATAAATATAATTTTTTTTTTAAATTTAATTAAGTACACGAATGTATGTGTGAGTGTGTGTGTGTTGGTGAGAGTTGTGAATGTATTTTCCTTCATCTGCCGTTGCGCTGTGCTTTAAGAATCGAATTGCATTTATCTCAAATTAAGAAACTTGAGAAACAACATAAATATGTCAATATTATTCAAATTGTGCTTTACATATTTGAGAAAAAGCTTGCATCGAATTGTGTGAAATTGATTTGAACTTTGATGTAAATGTTTTGTTTTCTTTTCTCTCTTATTTGCTTGGAAATTTCTCTGTTTTATTACTACACATTTATTTTATTTCATTTTGTTTTGATTTTGAAACCATTTTACATTTAACATTTAATTCTGTTTAATATCTTAATCAATTTCTGTTTGTTTTTTGTTGTTTGGAAACATAGGAAACATTTGACAAGAGCAAGCATTCAATTATTTATTTAGTATAATCGCAGAAAGGAATGAAAGTTGATCTTTAAATGAAACATGTTTGATAAATTTACATTTTTAGCTACAATTTGTTTTGTTTTTCTTTTCTTTTATTTATATGTTTTCCTCTTACTTTTATATGGCATTTAACCGCATTTTTTGCTGCTAATTTATTTATTTTCTTTTCTTTATTGTTTTCGGTTAAGGTGCTCTTCAAAAATTCCAAATAATAACTTATCAGCTGTTATAATCTTATTTACGTGTGAGCGTGTGTGCATGTGTGTGTGTGCTAACTAAATGTGTGTGTGCTGCGCATAAAATCTTCAAAAGTTTTTTCTTTCAGATGCAAAACAATTTGCTTCGGTGTGAGTGATCGCGTGTGTGTGTGTATATATGTGTTTGTGTGTGCTAGTGCATAATGCTAATTACGGACGGATTTCTAAACAGAAAGTAAAGTTTTTGTGTACTAGAATAAGCTGCTTTATAGGGTATTAAACGCAACAGAAATATTACTTAAATTGTGTGTGAGTATGTGTGTATGTCTGTGTGTGTTAATGTCTGCTAAGGTCTAGACTAGCAACTATTATTCAATAATTTATATTATATGTATTTATTAAGTAGCATTGGGCTTTGTGTCTTGTATCTATTTACAATATAAATTCGCTTTGATTTTTCTGTTTTTGTTTTACACTTAGCCTCAAGTGCCTTAAGTGTCGCCTTTGCATCTGTATTAGTATCTAATATTTGGCTAAGTTTCTAAAAGATAACATTTTTATCTACAAAAAATAACCGTGGGCCTTTTTCATTTTCCACTTTTCCACTTTTCGTTTTCCTAGCATTTTCTTTCCTTCCGTTGTTTACCTTTTTGTATAATTGCAAAAAATTTGGATTTTCATAATGTTTTGTTCTTTATTGTAATAATAATAATTGTCATAATAGTAGAA